ATGTTTATTCAGAGAAAGTACGTTTTTGTGTCTGATTTCGTAACTTAATTAATAGTTAGCACTAATTAATTAGCATATTTGAGGTCACCCCCAGGAACCATTAAGATTGACACTTAGTTCGTGAAAATCGGATCATTAGAACAAAAGTTATTCAGGGTGATATCTTTTTTTTTTGCGGACTGTACAATATTTTGTACTTAAACGATGGTAAAAGAATAATGGCGCAGAAATGAATATAAAGCTTAAAGTAGGGTATGGAACAAAAAAGGCTTTATTTGACGCATAGTGGCGTTACACATTATTGCCTGAAAAAGCGTAAGTACAACTGGTAGATGTTCCATAGTATGGGATATGCCCTCCCCTTACTGTAATTGTTGCTTGGCATCGTCTCTCCATGCTAAGCACCAGATTATCCAGGAGTTCTTGGGGTAAACGTCCCCTTTTCTCCGAATTTATAAAGCAAGTAAGTTTTATGATTTTTATTAATTTACTTCTAAATAAAATTTTTTTCTAATTTGATAATAGCTCTCTACAGAAAGGTTTTCACTCTGAACTTACTTTAAGAATAAAGAAAAAGATAAACAATATGAAAATTTTTGTTTTAATAACAGTAATTTTCAGAATCGTTTTTTTTTTATCATCAGAATTCTTTATTTTTCTCTTTTTAATTTGTAATTTTTTGATAAAAATTGTAATCAAAAACTTCTTTTGCCAAATTATATGGTATAACATTATGTGTTTCTGCATACTTTTTGAATATTTTAATGTTTGGAGTAATATAATTCAGAAAAGTATGGAATGTAAAGTTTAAATAGACTTTTCATATTAGATCATTAAATTTATTAGAGAGATTTCTCAGGCACTAGGTTTAACTCTAATAAGAAGATTTTTTGCAAATATTTTCCGATGTGCTTGAGATGTTCCTTCCCTTAAAAAAAGAGATTCCATTTTGTTTTCACTTGCATAAGAAAGAATATCAAAACATTTTCCTTTTTTAATTTAATAGGCCACAATAGACAAGGAACGTTACCATGCTACACTGAAGAAATCTCCAGTGCAACTGATGATCGTACTAGTAGACATTCGTCTCAAATAACAACGCCCCCTATACGTCATAGCGTTCGGGAATTCTTTGATGTTCCATAAGAATCTCGTGCTTGTATTTCTAATTTATTGCGCTACATATTTTGTTTCTTTTATTCATGATTTTGTTAGTCAGATATTTTTTTAATATTTTTAGACTTTATAATACATATGTTCAAAAATAAAGCAACCAAACGTAATAACAAGTTTGGAATTAAAATACCATGACTTCAAAAAAAAAATTTTAAATTTTTAACATGCTTCACAATATGATATGATTTGCTTTCTAAATTCTCATAAAAATCTAGAAAACACTTCACAATTTTAAAAAACAAATTCAATGTTGAAACAAAGTTCAAAGCACATCGATTACTAACATGCGATACACTTAATGCGTATTGATCCCAAACCGTTACTTTGCCTCAAACCATTACTTTCCGTCTCTATAGTTAATTTCAAATTTCAGAGTATTAGTTGTTCAATTTAATCTATATAAAACTCATAGTATTTTGTGAAATTTCGGCCTACTTACCCTTGCATTTTATGTCTTTTGTTCCTTTTGTGCTTTCATCTTCCAGTTGAAAACTCTCATTGCATTCACAGTAGAAGTCCCTGCCTTTTGGAACGCATTTCTGATTCTCACCGGGGCAATAAGTAGGTCTACATACAAATCCAACTTTAACAAAGAGAACGCATATTACATTATTACATACCATAAATAAATAAATATATATATATATAAACATTCAATTTTTTATAATCCATAATCGAAGATAGTTTTGAATGGGTCAACGACCTCTTAAAGAATACTCCAGAAGATCTTGGAATCGTAATGCTAGGTCATTCACCTCAAGGAGGGGATGATTTCAAGGCCAACTACTAATGATACATTGATATACTTAACTCTACTCTTTTTTTTTAATATATTAAATAACATTGTATTGATACTTTAAATGTTTTTAATCAGTAATTTTCAATTTCAAACACATAACTTAGCAAAATTGCAAATTCGAAAAATAAATAAATTATGTATTAAAATTACTTGATTTCAAATTGAATTTAAAGTGGATTTTGTATTGCTTACCTTACAGCCTTCACAAGAATGAACGCCATAATGAAATCCACTAGCCTTATCACCACAGACTCTGCAGAGAACTGTTGTACCATCAAATTCTGCAAAAAGAACAAAATAAAGAAATTTAGTTTTCAGTTTTGTACAAAACAACAACACATTCTTAAATATATTTTTAATACCTATCTCAGACGTAACAGTTTAATANACATATGTATATATATATATATATATATATACATTAAACAAACCTTTTAATTAACAATTCTTTCCGAGAAATTCCTAACAGTGCATAAATGTTTTTCTCCTCTGTTTTTTAAGCAAAATATTGTAGCACATTATATGTAAAATGAGTATAGAAATAAATTAGGTACCATGATTATTTATTTATTTCATCAATAAATCATCCTTTTTAAACCAGGTATACTGAGTTATATGACATCATTAAAAGCAGGTTTAAAAGGTGAAAATATAAAGATAAAGTATTGAAAATATTATATGTATACTTACAGTCATCATCATCATATCTCTGGAAGTCGATGCTTTTAAGGAAAGTATTGACTTTTTCCCTATTAATATCCACGAATTTCTCGTCATTTAATAATGACATCAGTGTTCGAAACTCAGTTCCATGTTTGTTCTTTAAATGATATGCATTGCTCTGATAAAATAGATTATACAGAAATGACAGGAAAATAAGCTTGGTATTTGAGAGTAGCATTAATTTCATCTTTTTTAAGAAGTTACGAAGCAAATAATAATTTGACTATTAAAATGATTATCTAAAGAGAAACTTAATTTATCTTAAGTTATCATAATATTATCAGGTATGACTCGATCAAATGTCAAAAGAGCAACACATTTTTCACCTGTCACTCAATGAAATTTTCCCACAACAGAGTTCAACAACAGATAAAATATTACTTACTAGCCACCTGCAGTGGCCAGTTGGTCAGTCAGCACATACTATACTCATCGTCTGTCTTAGTTAAAAAGAGTAGGCATTACTGTCCATTAGGCTAACCAACTTGTCAATTACAAAATATTAAAATTAATCTTATTACCACGTTTATATCAACTTGCCTTCGTGTATGTTTGTTCGGATGGAATTTTGTAATCGATATTAAACTAACTTCCCGACTAGCTACAGATTTCAAATTTGGCACATGGTTCAGAATTGGATGACTATGCATGAAAAAGTAGAGAAAAAAGACATACAAGGTAAAATAAAATTAAAATTAAAGAAAAATTTATATTTTCGCGATTGTCTTTCGTTTTCGATTCAATTATTTCAAATAAGTGTCACATTTCAGTTGAACAGTTTTGTGTACAGTGAGTGAAAAAATTGAGATTTTGCAGTGGAGAATAATAATTGAAAAACAAAAATTTGAAAACCGAAAAACGTGGAGAGCATGAAATACATAACAGTACATATACACATACATATATACTTATACGCATGCACAACCACATCCCCATCCACATTCAGATACAATTACATACACATATTCTCATGAGCACACATACTGTTACTGTTATGTATTTCATGCGCCCCACGCTTTTCGTTTTTCAAATTTTTGTTTTTTAATTATTATTCTCCACTGCAAAAAAGTGGTTTTTAAAAATATTATTTTCATTTTTATTATTTTTTAATTTCTTATTTTTATCCCTAGAACAAAGAGATCTAATTTGAGAATCGAGATCTTGGTAAAAACGCATTGTTTAGCCTTACAGTGAATTAGACTAAGTACCTCGATTATAACAAAATATCAAAATGAAACTGTTTTAGATTTTCTTTGTATCTTATAACTAACACATGGTCCGATTTAAAGACTTTTTTCCTGGTAATAACGTTTTAAAGCCTTAATGTCAATTATTTTTTTCCCTTATTAATTTCGTAAATAACACGTGGGGCGGATCCTAGAATAGCCCACCCATGGCAATTTTTTTTTAAATCTCGCCAAACTAGGTTTCTGGTAGATCTGGTTTATCAAAGTAAAGGTTAGTCACTTTTTTATTTTATTTTATTATAAATATTTTAATAAATTTGTAATGATTTAAATTGTTTTTTAATAACAAAAATCAACGTTGATGCTTGCAATAATTGCCAACTTGACGAGATTTCGAAAAAGTCGCAGAGGTATGAAGTATTCTAGAATTTCACCGTTCACGTGATCTAAAATTGAGACTTCAAGCACCTGTTGTTGTTGTTTCCAATCCCAGCTGGGATATCGGAGCTATACCAGATCCATGAGGCCGTGAGTCTTCAAAAAATCGAGAACAAGGAGAGGTCTCTCAAGAACCTCTTCCATGGTGAAATCCAGACAATCAAGTAGATGGTGAGGACTAGCCTTGCTGGAGTTGTACTTTTTACAAGGTGGAAAAAGTTTAATTTGTCCACTGAAAGTGAGGCTCTTAGTATGCCCACTGACAAATCTACAGGTAGCGATTTGGTCGGCACGTGTACCCTGAAGGTTAAGGGCTCCTCCAGGATGCTTGCGGGGATACCAATTGTGATCCGGTGGAACAAGCCAAGCTTTATTCACTTTAGATTTGTGGATAGAAAATAATTCAGAGTAAGTGAGGGCCCAGCTAACATCTGCAGGCTTTTTTGGAGCTAAGTCAGACTTCTACCACCGGTGCTCCTGATTCTTTGATCAACAGAAGCTGTCCCCTTCCCCTTTACCATAAGTTTGTCTTCAAGCACCTTAATGGTGCTTTTAATTTGCTGTAAGTTTAAGTTTACAGATTCTTTTGGTTCCAGACTTAAGGTTATTTAAATACTTTGTAAGTTCTGTAGGAAAAGAATAACCTATTTACAGGTTTACAAATATAGTTTCTTCTATAGAAAACAATGTATGAATTCTTATTTGTTTACAAACAAATCTTCGATATCAAATCATGATAGCTAATTTCTATTACAAAAAATGCCAGGCTGATAACAGCATTCAATTAACAGTTACAGCTGACAGTGAAAACAAAATTTTCTTTTTTATATGAAAGTTTGAAAATGAGCAATAAACAAGTGTTTTCAGATAAACTATAGAAATGCTAATTTGTTAGTGGATTGTAATAGTCCGCATGTACCATCAAGATCATGTTGATCATTCAGATAGTCTGCCATAAGGAATAAAAAATAATTAAGTATTACAGACTAAGCAATATACAAATATTTTGATTCGAGCTATAAGTTAGCAAAGATCGTTGAAGTTATAATTTCAAATATTTGACAAAATTGAATAGTCTATAGTTTATTTTAAAACTATGGCTTTCGCAATGTCTCCGGAAAAAAAAACATTTTTTTAAATGTCCTTGAATTAGAAATATAATTAAAAAATCAAAAATCAGGGTTTGTAATTTGTTTTAAATTTTACTCATTTAGCATCATTTTGAATGCCGTATCTTCAGTGCCTAAAGTTTACCCGTATTCCGGTTTGTAGACACATCATCATCACTTTTGGCCAGACAGCCCAGAGTGAGCCAGTGCCTTCTTCTAAATTTTGCTCCACCGCATTCTATTTTTGACACTTGTGCGTCAGTTTCTTTCTTGGATTGCAAGGACGTCAGTCTCCCCCTTAGTCGATCTCAATCTTGGTCTACTTCTTTTTCTGCTTGTTAGCGGTTTACATAAACACATATTCTTTATGCTTTTAATCTTTTACTAATTGAGAGAAATTAATATGATACAAATAAATAATAAAATATATCAAAAGATAAAGCACAATTTTTCTTTATTTTAATACTATATTAAAATGTTTATTCAAATGAGTATAATAGTGGTTAAAATTATTCATCATTTTTACATTTTTCTCGTTAAGAATTCGTCATTATTCAACCATTCGTTTGCCAGCATTTAAACCAGCTTTTCAATACAAATGATTTTGAAAATTCATTGTCAAGTACAACAATTGGCATTTCTCACTCTTTTCAGTAAATTCTCTGGTTAAAGTGGAGCTAACTGAATTTTTTATACTCTTCTTGCACTACATCTAGGCATGATATCTTTATTAATTTCTTATCCATCAACAGATAGAAAGAAATTCTTTGCAGGGTTTGGATTATTTCTCAAATATTTTTCTTGTCATTTTTCAAACGATATATACGCTTAAATGTTTCAGCAAATGGAAAGATACAGAACGTAATCCTCTCTATTTTTTTAAAAAAAATAAATTTAGATCAAAACTTTTATCTCAATAAATAATATCACACTGAAGTTTACCATATACAACCGATATATAGTAGGTAAAAGAAATTAAAATTTAGAACAATATGAATCAGATGTCTTTGTCAATAAATAATAATCATTAATGATTTGGCACTGATGATGACACTTCCTATTTATACGAACGCACTTTTGACTTTAAATGAGAGCAGGCCTTTGAATAGTTTAATGTTTTTATGAAAAACATATTTAAAAGAAATGTGAATTTAAATTTATAATGTCAAAATTTAATTTGAAAACTCACTAGACCTACAAATCCAATAGACATGCCTAAACTGACATCACTTTACTGACCTGTCTACAGAAAATGTCATAATTATCAGTCAGTTACTAGTAGAAACCAACCGGACTACGTTTTATTTAAAAATAAAATATTTTCAAGATAAATATTTCGGTAATTAGAAGCATCAAAGGACGTTAGCGTGTGTATAGATCTTGATTGGTTGTTGAAACGTGGCTTTGCTTACTCTAGTAACTGTTTTTTCCATTATATTTCGAGTACGCTTACACAGTCAAATATGAATTTTTATAAACGACACATTCTTTATTCCATCAAAAAGAATTATTTGACTTATTTCTTATTTAATATAAAGACAGGCACGAAGCCATGTAGAATATAACAAACTAATTATGTTGCGAAGTTGGACCCTTTAACGTTAATTTAATTTCTTGCGTATTTCGCTATATCTCAAGATCTTTTTAAGCGAACTGAAAATTTTTTACGCACAATTATAAAATTTTGTCCAATAATAATTCCAAGCAAAAATAAATTTTAATAAATACGTATTATATTTTTATTATTTTATTTTATAATAGTCAAAAAAGATTTTGAACTGTAAGGTATACAATTTTTTGCATAATTTTAAAGAATATAATTTTACATGGCAAAATACAAAATTTGAGCAAAATCGGTCGAATAGTAGAGTGGCCTGAGAAATCGAATTTTAGATATTTTACTTTTTTTTAAAATTTCAATTTCTCAGGAACTATTCGTTCAATTTTTCTTAAATTTTGTATTTTGCCATGTAAAATTATGTCAATTTTTTTTTTACATAACTACTTATAAATATTGTAAAATAAAATTTAAAGGTCAGATAGAGAAATGGTTAAGCTCTGAAGTTCTTAACAAATTCTCACAAAAATTCTGTATTTTTTTTTTAATAGATGTAGTGTGGTACCACACATGTATGTATTTCGCACAAAACTCAAATGTTGAAGGGTTATTTATTAAGTACCAGCTATACTAATACATAATAATCACAAAATTTACCACTTTTCTAAATATTAAAGTAAAGATATTCCGATAAATCGGAAAATGTTAGCAGGTTTGATATCTATGCAAAGATAATTAGCAAATCTTTAGTGTCAGCATGTTGTAATTTGTAATTAAATTAGATTTAATAATTTAGATTAATTTTTCCCCTCAAGTGAATAAATAAAATTATAGATGTTGTTTTCACTGGAAGAAATTATTTTTTATAATTTAAATAAATAGTGAAAATTTTATAATATTTATAGTACATAAAATTTTATAATGTTTATAATATATAAATTT